TGGTGGCGCCGATGATAGTCCGGTTGCAGCGTTTCAGGCACGTTTTTACTTGGCGCAGTTGCCACGGAAACGATTCACGAGGAGGAGACGAGAGATTTGTCAGGATCGTGAAACGAGCAACGTTTCGACGAACGCGCGTTCGTTTTGCAACGCGAGTTGACAGATTGGCGTTAGAAAGTTGGCGCGTTCAAGGTGGGAAAAGGGGAGCCAGCAGTTTGAATATGCATACCGGTGACGTTCCATTCCCTTTTTAAATATCTAATGGTACTGTTACGTTTATTTATATATATATATATATACGAGCAAACTGGTCGCGATCTGTCGTGCCTCCCGATCACGAAAACTATAACTAAACCCGTTAGTGGTTGGACGGCTAACTAAACTCTTCATTACTTTAATTTGCACGTCTCGTTACGTGCGTCTTCGTAACACGTGATCGGTACGGTGCGCCGCGGTTCAGACTCTGCTTAAGTGCGAAACGGTCGTGCAAACATCAGAATGACTTCTGAATTTATTGCGCAATTTACTATTCGATGTCTTTCGCAAACTGTTGGATGCGAGAGCGAACGAACCAATGGAAAACGATTCTTCTTCTTCTTTTTTTTTTTTTTTTCCTCTTCGACGGTTTTTTTCCCTCTTTGAAATCGACCAACGAAGATCCTTCCAAGGAGCAACATACCTTCGTCGATAATCGAACAATGAAAGCGAGGTAAAAATGGGATTTTCGTTTTTCACGAAACGATTGGACGCAAGAATCGAACACCCTGTATAACGAGGCGACTCTTATATACGGAATGGGGTACCATCTTTATTTACGGTGAAGTGGTTGTCGGCCAACTTAGAGGAGCGGCCATCATTCAATCAAGCCGGACAATTTAAACAGCCTGATTCACGCAGCGAAATCATTTAATATTTGACGTCAAGCACGATTATCGTATAACGGTGCGTAATGGCCGATTGTTTATACAGGTTGCAAGCGGCGCCGTAATTTTCAAATGGTTGTATCTGCCTCCCTGAGAACGAGATGTTGTTGAACGTTTGCCGGAGCGATGTTGCAAAATGATCCATGATTAGCGGGCCACGAGTGACGAGTACAATTCGACCGTTCACCGTTAATGGCCAAACTTGGATCGAAAAAATAAAAAAGATTCACTCCTTTCCCACCCCCATCCATCTCCATTAAATTCGACGTTAAATTTCACAAATCTCACCCGCGTATACGAATTTTCAATCATTCTGTTTACCCTATTCGAATATCTCTTTTAATATTTCGTTTTAATAATTCGTTCGATATTAATCGCCTCGGCGACACGTTGCTCGGTATTATTTCGACTTCACGCTCGAACGCGGCCGTAGAGCGAACACTTTTATTAGCTCTCTCTCTCTCTCTCTCTCTCTTCTGCCAGCCGCGTGTCTATTTATAGTCTCGTGGAATTATCTTCATCCGCCGTAGAACAATACATTCGGGGCGGATAAAAATTTCGATAGGAGAATGCTAATCTACGCGGTCTTCATCGTTGTCGTCGGTCTCGAATGAAAAAGGAGCGGCTCGATTACCGGCAATTAGATCATCGTCGTTGCGCATAGACGAAGAGGGGAAGAGAGAGAAAGATTTGCGATATAATTGTCTTTAAGAAAAGTCGGTCTAAGAAAAGATTAGAATTATAAAACTACTTTTTAATTTCTTCAGTGTTCGATCAGTCTCGATTCAGATTTTATTAATCTTAAATAAAATTCGAAACGGTTTATCCACTTTTGTCTCGATCGATCGAAAATCTCCGGGAATCGGGAATCTCTTCTTCGAAACGCATCGCACCTGCGCCACAAACGACCTGTTGTTCGCGCACACGCGGTTACTTTACATAAGATATGCGCAAGCTTAGACGGAGCTGAAAATAAACTTGCCGCGATTCGACACGTTCGACACGTCTAACGCTCTCGTTGTCATTTAACCTGATTTCCATCGCCACGATTCGCGGGGCCTCGAAACGCCTCGCGTGCCTTTTATATAAATCTCTTTTCCCTATGATCGCCAAAGTTATTCGAGAGATCTAATCTAATCAGAGATCTTCGGATTTAAACGAAATCGCGTCGTTTCGTCGAGGACCAATGGAAATATCGTAACAACGTTCATCAGGGATATACACGTATACACATCGTGTATCTATTTAATGAACGCTCTCGTTATAACTTGCTCAACATTCTAAGAGATGTTGCTATACGTGTATAATTAAGAGAAAAAAATATGTATACATAGATAGATATTTCGTCCGTTCCTTTTTTTTTTTTCTTTTTTTTAATCAACGTCGAATTAACCCCAATAAAGTATCGCGTTATAAAGCGAACACAACGGAATCCAGGATCGACGAATACGGTGCAAATACGTAGCAGGCAGATTCCTACTTCGATAATGTACTCGTAATTAAGCGGCCATGTTTCCATACCGGCTGATACGCATCGTCGATCACCAGGCTATTTTCGATAAGCCTCCAAACAAGGTAAACGTTCAGGCTCGGGGTTTTTTTCGGCACGGATCGAAAGAAAGAAGTCACGAGAGAGTGAAATTCCGGGGGAGAAAGAGAAAAGAAAAAGAACGAGAAATTTCAGGAGGTTCAACGATTCGAAGGTGGGAAGAATGAAAAATTTTGTCCGTAAAAGTTGTACACGCACACGCGCCCAACTTTGTCCACGTTTAAATCGTAATACGCGAGAAGAGGCGAGTGTTGACACTCACGGGGAAAAAGATAAGATAGTAACTGTTTTACCAGCCAATCGCTTCTGTGCGTCGCCGTCTACGTCACTGTTGCTAACTGTAGTTGTGTACACACGTTCGTACGCACAATCGATTGATATTTCTGTTTTTTTTCTGTTTTTTTTTTTCGAATAGATCGACCCTCGAATCGTGGCGAAAAACGAAAAGGGTGGATCGGTCGGCAACCGAGGAATCGAGGCGGAAATCGCGATCGGATCGCGGCCTTACCTAAACCGAAATCTCATTATCTCGAGGCAGAGCGAAGGAATTTTATCGCGAGTGCAGAAAGTGACGCTGCAACATTGGAAAATTTATAGGAAGATAGCGGGAGGAAGAGAGGTACAAACGAACTCGGCCGAGAAATTAATTGAACGAGATAGGGGGGACCCTGTATTGCCCCGAGAAGCAAGCACCGGCCGTCTTTCGCGCGCGAGAATCTTTTACTTTGGCCGGCACAGTATGTGCTTCGACTTCGACTTACACGTTCGAGTTGTACGGAAATATTTTCCCTCGTTAATTAGATAAACACAATGTTCCGCGAGCCGGTAATTTTTTAATTACCGTGGATATAATTTACGAAGAAAAGATAGAGATTCGAGTTAACAATGTTCCATGTTTGAGGTTGAGGATTTTTTATTAATTCTGGAAGGAATTCATTTTTATTTGCAGAGGAGAGGGAATTAAATCGAGAGATGAGAAGGTGTCCATTGAAATTCTTTATGCTTCAATTTCCCTATTTATCGGCCCGCCACTTTCTCTGGTAACTCCTGTTATTATCGTATTCGTATTTACGCGCACATCGGAGAGCACGTGTATTAATAGCGCGCACGCGTAATAAAGGTATTCGCCATTCGTGTATTACGCCGTACGCTATTACATCCTACATTAACTATGAACAATTGTACATTAGCCGGCGTGCACTTGCTCAATGAAATTTCGCATGCCGATATGTAACGATAAACGAGAGAAAATTACCGACTGAAAAAGACGTTGACATTCTTTAGTCTATAGAAGGAGAAAAAAAAAATGTAAAAAAGGAGAGAGAAAGGAAAATTCGTATGAACGTATAAATGATTGCACATGTAAGAAAATATCGTATATAATTATATGGACGAGATATATATTGTATGCATTTCGCGTTGATAAAACACGTGGCTTTCACTAACAATCGCTGTTACTGCACTGTAACAAGAAACCAAAGTGTCGGTGGAAATAAGTAAATACTACTAGGCCTCTTAACTTTGTAAACAAGATTACATTCAGCAGCCTACAGATTTGCAAACAATTAGAGTGTAAATGACATGTTCGGAGCGTATTTCTCACAACCAGTTGCATACCGCAAAGTGAAATTTCACGAAATATTGCTGGCAATTTTGACGAAAGATTATTATTAGTCATAATTAGAAAAATGCTAATTTATCGATAACGTAATGTTCCGCTCGAACAAAAGAATTATTTTTGTAACAAGAACAGTATGTCGTAAAATTCTACCCCCCTATGATCTTTCGTTTATCACATTTATTTTATTCGTTATAAGTATTTTTACGACTAAAAGAAAAAGAAAGATTTGTAAATACATAAAAGTGCAGAATAGCAAGAATACGATAACCGCGTGGTCGCGATAAGAACAAACTTTTGGCTTTCTATAAATATCTTTAACTTGTCCTCGCTGCAGACTGATGACGAAATATTTTTCTGTATATTTCGTGTCGTCACCCAAAGCAGCCTATGATATAATTTATTTGACCCGGTATTTTATTTATGAACTGAATATCGTTGATGAAACATGGCGTTCGATTTTTACGCGCGATATCAATCACGGTATTTATAATTTTTAATGAAAGATAAAGTTTATTTTATCCTATATTGATATATAATTTTACAAAATCGTATTGTAAAATTATATTTCAAAATTTTTTTAGTAAAAAAAATAATATAAAATAAATGAAATATCAAATTTTATGCTTTGCTTTCGACTAATCGTAATAAATTCAATAGCAATTGCAGCGCCTCCTATATGCGCATAACAATTCATATTTCGATAGGGTAAGAGACATCTATTTAAGCAGTAACATTTTTTCCCGCCATAACTAAAGAAATTTGATTATTCTAAAGTGCTGTTACAATGAAATCTATATCTAGCATAAAATTTTAAAACACGTTAAAATCCTTAGAATTTGTGTTTAATTTATGAACTGCAGTTGGTCGACTTCCAAATTTGTATAAATTATAATAGCTAACTACTCACGTTAATCTGCATTCAATCAAGATATATGGCAGCCTTGATAGTTACTTGACATCAGACGCTTGAAGTACCATTGATTTCTGTTCGAAGGTTACGAAATTCCGGGACACGTATCGTGTATTTGTGCACTCACATTCACGCCGATTTCACGGTAATTTCCACGAGAAGAGCGAAAATTGTTCTCGACCTTTTCGAAGATTCCGTGTGTGGCCGATCTCGATCGAAGCGCCGCTTCGGTGGCGCCACCTTCACGCTATACGGCGACACTAGCCCCCGTTGGAATCATGTGTTCAGTATATTGCGGCCTCTGCTTGTGAACGGTCGTTTGTAAAAGTATGACGATTGGTTATCTCGGTGGCGCGTTCCGTCTTTGTAAAACGAATTCGTGATTCGTTTCCGATCGTGCGTCGCGCGTATTATTAATATAACGTGTGGTGATCAACGTTTCATTTCTCGTGGACAGTGTACTCGTTCCGTGGAAACAAGGGAAAAAGACGGAAAAAACTTGGCGGATAGAAGTGCGTCGTCTTCGCGCCAGTAAAGGCGTCCTTCCGCGTTCTCTCGTACATACACGAACCGTGGCCAATCGTGCGAGTGGAGTGATTTTATTTCCAACAAGCAGTGCCCGACGAAGAACGAAAATAGCTGTTAAGTGAAGTTCTTCTACTTTTCAATCGGTCAACGAGAGACCCGCAGGGATGACGAGGTAGCCCCCCATCCGAAGGATTAGATTACCATGCTGGACACGGCCACGAGTCGCAGGTAACAGAGAACCGTGTGCGCCCCGTGTGAAGACTTCCCACTTGCTTCTTCTTTCTCCTTTCCTCTTCTTTCTTTACTTTCTTCTCTTCTCTCTCGTTTCTCTTTTCTCTCTTTTCTTCTTCTTCTTCGTCTCTCTCTCTCTCTCTCTTTCTCTCTCTCTTTCTCTTTCCCCTTTTTTCCCTTTCTCTCTTATACTAAGCGTCGTTGTCGATCGCTATACACGTTGCTTTCTCTCTCTTTCTCTTTCTACCACGAGAGAGAACCGGCGGGAATAGTGAGATACACATGAGCGAATAGGACGGTTTCTAGCAAACATTCGCTAGAGTAAACGATTGGATGAAAGCCAGCTGCTCAGAGGATATTTGTAAAAAATTCAAATTCTTTGATAAAAATTTTCGTGTGTTTGTCAATCTATACTAACGTGTGCAGCGCTATGGTGTCTGAATTAAAATTTTACATATTTATATGCATATATATACACATATTGCATCTATTTCTCACTTTAGTCGATTCTTTGTCGATAAGAAGGGCGCGTGTTAAATCTTTTATTCGTATAGTAGATAAAGTGCAAGAATTTGACGATCCCGACGCGAATAAAGTGCATCACGACATTTAACGCGACAACGAATTTTTATGTCGGTTGACACGCGCCTTGTGATGGAAATCTCAAATTTCTTTGTGCTGCCGGGCCCGCCATGTAATATTTTCGGAACGTGTATACATTCGTGTTGATGCTACGTCTTATTCTACGTCTTATACGTTCAGGAAATGAGGTAGCAAACATTCTATGACTACGTTAAACATTGTTAGTATTATTTTCATTTCGTCATATACGTGTACATGTATGTTTAGGATACATATATAACAGTGTGTAGCGGTAAAAACTTAAGAGGAAAAATATTTCAATATACACGCGTGCTCGGTTGGAAGGCGAGAAGAGTCCGGTGTAATATTTGCTCTCTGTAATCAGCGTATCGAAGCAACATATTTTCGTCGCTTGGCTCTGATACACGAATCTCTGACGTATAAAAGCAAACGAAGTCAAGCTGTGGCTGTGACGAGGCCACGGAATCCGAGAAATTATATTAGAGTGACAACGTCTGATGTATCGCGTCCCAGGGTCCACTGTATTCTAACCGTTAACAGTTTACTTAACGAGTAGATAAGACAGAACGTAAAGGAAAATTTCCATCGAGGCTTTCCTCGTTTCAACTTGTTCGTTTCTTCGCGTATATTTATAACGTATATTTATAACGTATATTTATATTTCTACTTTCGAATTAAGTCTGGTCGTTTTTGTATACCGCAAGTGTCATTGATTTGTTTATCGTTTGTTTCTCGTTGAAGAGAATTCTAGGAAAATTAATATTTTTTTTTTTTTGATTTTACACGTGGCGCGACAGTATGCGTCGCTACAACGAACTAAGTAGCTGAGTCATCGTCGATACACTTTCGAGCGTCAAAAAATTTTGTTCGTTTGATTATCACTGTTTGTGTTCGTTTTTAGACGATTATGAAGAGTTAACAAAAATGTGTACGTTATACGAAATCAGAAGTGTCTCGAAGTGTATTGGTCTCGATAAATTTTTACAAATACGTACATTATCGATACCATAGAATATAAATTATAAAATAGATTGGCTGCCAACTTTTTGTCGATTAGTTCAACGTTTTCTCACTAGGAGATGGATGTGGATAAAAACGAACGTTAGACATAGAAAATCAAATAGATTCGTGTTCGATTGATACGAAAATGAGAACGCGGTGTCGTGTTTTCTCGCGTTCGAGCAGCATCGTGGATGCTCGTAATTCGAGAAAATAAAATTCGCTTCGGAGCTACGGAGCAAAGGTTGCCACGATAAATATTGTCCAGGAGAGATGCTCGCTGTTGTCGGCGGTCAAACAATAGCTTTTCATCGTACGCTGTTCAAAAGCAACTCGGTGGAACGACCGTACTAGCAGAGACGTTTAATGAACTTAATTATTCCGAACGTCGATGCTTAACCTCTTTGTTGACCGCTATACCACTGTTAAACTGCAACATTGTTAGTACTTCCAAACAGGTGGCCCTGTCAGTTCAACGTCAACTTATTGCTACACACGCATTTCCACATCAAACAAATTGGATTTTTTCTTAATATAATTATGTGGTTAGAAACGGAAACCTTGAAACAGATCAATATTTTCCTTATTAAGTGTCCCGATATCGTTACGCTTGATTAACGTCCGCGAATTTACATTTATATTTAAATAATCATTTTTACACAAATTTTTTATCTTTGCACATATATGTACTACATATTTGCATATATTTGAAACAAAATTGAAAAAAGAACAAATTAGAGGATAGAAAGAAAAATAGAACGTGTATCATTGGAGATCAGAGATTGGAATACATTCAGAAGAAAAACAATTGTGCTTAAGGAGGATTAAAACAGAGGGACACCTGTAAAAAGACTATTTACAACTTTATTAAAGCAGCTTAGCCTCGATTGCTTTGTTTGTCAATGTCCATCGTACAATACGAAATAACGATTTAGTTCACACGAAAACGTGAAATAACATCTGGCTCGTAACGCAAGTATGTACAAGTCGTCGCTATGTGCGTATAGTGCGCCCTGCATATTTCCTCGATATTTTATAATGGGTCTTCCGATAAAAGTGCCACTTGTTAGACCGCGACTGTTTTGCATAATTTCAGTTCAGGATACACGCGTGTAAATTGCGCGCACCGGCAATAAATCTCGTTGGAAACCGCTACATTTCTGTCGCTTTCTTTCTTGTTCTCACTCTCTCTCTTTTTCTCTCTCGATAGACGAGATAGTAAAACGATTGCAGATGCATGATCTCTAATATATCTAATTGTAATTAATGCGGACAATTTAATATCATTATTTATTTATGGAATAATCAATTTCATCGTATTATTAAACTTGTATCTGTGTTGTATCATGTGATTTACATTTGAAAAATTTTGATCAAAAACTTATATGCGGTAAAATAAGATCGAATTTTCTTAAAATCAAGATCGGTTAATGCGGAAAATTAAGATAGATTATTCGTATCTCGCTGAAAACGCAAAGGAATTAATCCTATATCTCTCGCTCGTCTGAAATCTTGTTTTACGTGACTCGAGTCCGCGCGCACGCGCTCACGGACATGATTCGAGCGTGGAAAAAAACGTGCTTTCTAATTAATCAGTTAAGCTAAGTATTCGCCGTGCTTAATGGCCGTAATTAGCCCTACATGCTTCGCGCTAGCACTGAAATTGCGCGATTGACCTGTGCCAGCCTGTTCAGGGGAAATTAATAAAACGTAGGATGACCTAAGCAATCATGATTGCACGGTTTTTGCGAATCTTTCGAAGTAGCGAGTTTATTGCGGGCATACGAACATTTTTCTCATAACCCTTGTCCGATCCGATGGATAAGATTGATGTTCTTTCGAAGTGTAATCGGTTACTCGATTTATCGCCCAATTATCACATTTATGACACGAAGCGTACAAACTCGAATACCATATCGATGACAAAAATCGTCCATGCACCGAGCGCCTCGTGATAACAATATTTTATCGTTATCAAACTCGAACTCGTAACGAGTTATGCAACGGTATAGTCACTTAATATTCGCATGTTTCGTTTATACTGATTGTGTGTAACGTAGGTAACGTAAACCGTGAACGAAATTCACCACGTAATTTCGTAAGATCGCGACGCTTTGTTTTCCTTATACAATGGATTGGGAAAAATAGCATATCGAATCCGAAGAAAAATTTGTTTCAACGAGATTTATGCAAAATATATATAGGATATCGTAGAAACGAAAGAAAAATTCGATTGGTTTAGCAATTTTGTCCGAGTGAAAATTCCTTCGATGCTCGTGTTCCCTCTAATTAAGTCGTCATGCAAAATAGCCGACAAAATACCGGGATATTGTTGGAAACGTAACGCTAAAATTTCATGGGGGCTGCTGTGGTTAATAAATATCTTCGGTTCCGCGAGCACGGTTACTTTTCAATGTTATAACGACGCGCGGTCTCTTTAATTTTCAGTTCAGCGGCTTGCGTGATCCGGGGAATATCAAAAGCGCTGCTGTGTACGGCAAGGGTGGTTGAGTAATGACTAACGAGTAATGCGCCGACATAAGTAAGCATTAAGTAACGAGTGCCACTCACACGTGCACGTGCGCCAGGCACACACTGGCGAGAACGGTGTACGGGCCGCAGTGTGTACACGAGAGATTACGAGCACGGTTGTCTCGGTTGATCATGATGTTCCTTTCATTCAGGCTCCGATTAACGATCTGCAGATGTATTTAACGAGTCTAAAAGCGGTACTGTGGTTTACCGACCTGCTCTCGACTGCTTCGATCTCTCGAGTGTTCCTTTTCGCCGATCGAACGAACGTAGTTTTTCAGAACTTTGATAAAAATGCGCGAGATTCGCGATTTATCGTGAATTTTAATCGTTTACTTAGTTCGTGGGTTATTTGGGATAAAATGAGAAATTAAAACTAAAATAGAAATAATAGGATTAAAAATTAAATGTTATGATTTTTCTATAAATTTGATAACATTTGCCGTTCAAATACGTACGAACGAAAGATATTATTGGGATATTATTTGGATAAGAAAACTTCTCA